GTGTGTGTGTGTGCGCTGATTGCAATTTTATATGACTGCAGGTGGAATTGAGGTAAGTCTTAGCTTGGATTTGAACTCATTTGATTGGAGTGCCTTGGGCACAATTATTTCTGGCACACGAATCGTTCTTTTGGGTATAACAAAATAAAGTTGTAAACCAAAAACCAATATTAGCTGTGGCTTATGGCGTGTTATTCCACTTTAAGCTGAGTCTTGCTAAAGACTAAAAAGATTTTAAAAATTAGCTTGGATATTCTAGTTATGGAAATAACATTCTTGGTAATTTTCGTTTGGCATTTTCCCATAGTCCAGCCGGAAAATTCCTTATAATTTCTGATGAGAGGAATATCAAAGACTCACTTCCAGCATCTTTATCAGCACCTCCATGAACTGCATGGGGCCGATAATGTTTCTCCGTATTTCATTTGTGTCTTCATAAGAACTGATCTCTGAATCAGCCCTAGACTGAGCTACCCGTTCATGGGAAAATTCAGCGATAACGTCCATCAACCACGCACCGATCGACTATAAAAAGCGCAGTAAATCCACAGCTAGCGACAGTTTGCTTTGAAACACTGAACAAGATGCGTTACACCCTGATCTTTGCTGTGGCAATAGCTGTGCTGGTGAGAGGACGATCCGTACCCAACCTCATTGTATCCCAATTGAAACACTTTCTTTTGCAGGGCTGCGCCAGTGCCACTCCTACGAGAAATGAAAAGGAGATGGTCTGTGGATTTCTGGAAGAGGTAGAGCTAGATCGAAACCAAATGCTAGAGTCGCTAAGCCGTAAGGCATATAGCCTTGGCAAGTCGGCCATTCGAATGCTGCCAGAGAATTCTGGTTTCAAGACGTGTATAAATAATGACCTCGACTTTTCGCTCCTCACTCAAACACCCGATGGGACAATTCGATTTTTGAGAAAGTTTAAGTGCGCCTACAAGCGACAGATACTCTGCAATAGGAGCTACCAAAGTCAGCCCAAGTTCCGGCAAATGTACGACAGCTGGAAGTCCGAAAGTAAGGATATAGTCAGTAATACCGAAAGCAAGACTAGCGGTAAGGTCCAAAATATAGTGAACAAACTGTGGCGCACATCGCATAATACGCAGGATCTGCAACGCATGTTCCTGGATCCATATAATGCCTACTTAAAGCGCAATTCAATTAACACTCACGAAATGTTCAACAATTTTCTTAATACTGCCAAATCCAATTTTGAATGCACCTACGAGTTGGCACTTCTTTAAAACTATTTTATTGCGAATTTCGTTCGAACTGTTGTAAAAAAAGTTAGTTACAATTTTGTATATCTATCTATTGTTAATCACGAATTTATCTCTTTAATATATGGTCTAATTTATGGTGTAAATAATACGGGAAACATCTTAAATAAATCAAAAGTATAGCCGATCCAGCTACTCTGTGGTTCCCTTAAGGAATATAAATAATCCACCACAGAAGGCCTTTAAAAAGCGAAATCTATGTTTCCGAAATTGAATTTAACATTTTTGTTCTTTGAATTTAAAGCTTCAAGTATTCAGAACTAATACGTGGATTGATTTTATTATTTTACAATAATTCCAATGAGCATTTTCTATCCATTAAATTCTCAGCCCTGGTTTTTCCTCACTTCAACTCATTCTTGATGCATTCCGACCCCATTTAAATCTGTACAAATTGTCCATTTCCAGAGCTCTTAAGCTTGCGAGCATGAAGGAAAGGAAAATCCTCTCATAGAAATTTATTGAGCTTGTTTCTCTCAAGACTTTGCTTGTTTACCGCTTGAAGATTACTTTTAAAAACGTACAGAACCACACAAAATTGGCTCAAAATTGTAAGCCAATAAAATTCACACTTGTTTCATGGTAGAAAAATTCAGTTTTTTACCCTTTTTTATCCGATCTCCGGATATATGTTTTTAAATTTTTTTAATCTATGTATTGTCCTTTTTTTTTACAGTTTTTTCTCCATTTTTAAGCACACTTCTTTATCCGTTTTTGTATATTTTTTTAACCTTTTGATTTGGTTTTATTTTGCCATTTGCCTGGCCCATTTTTTGTGCTTTTCGAAACTTTTTTATCTATATTTTCCTCCGTTTTTTTCAGTCATTTTAGGAATGCGTTAAGGGAAATCGTTTAGACATTTATTTAATTTGTTTTTGGATAGATTTTTTCATTGATTTTTGTGTGTTTTTAGTGTGCAATTCAGTGCAGTTTTTGTGTGTGTAGCATGGCATTTTTATTCTATACAAAATGCTTGTACCTTTTAAGGAATTTTCTGTGTGTTTAGTTTAAGGGAATATATTTTTATATATCCAGAAATCGAATTTATTTTGCATTTCAAAATCATTTTCTGCATATTTTCGGAGCATTTTTTCGTATCTTTGAGGACTATTTTTCGTATGTTTTTGTATTTTCACTGTGCATTTTTGGATAGTAAAATTCATTTAATTTTCGTTTATTGAACATTATTTAGTTTATTATTCTCATAATATATGTTCTAATTGATTGTTTCTGTTGCGTAGACCTATTTGCTTTGATCAACTTTTCGTAAACTAAATTTTGTGTGTGTGTTGCCAATTAACTTCCGGGGCAAACTTCAAAACAAGTGAATTTATTATTTGTATTATGTATTCATGAGTAAATATTTGAGTAATTGATTTCCCTTGATGGTCATGCCACACCATGTGGTGTGTGGTGTGTGGAGTGTGATGTTTTAGTCCTAAAACTGGACTTTGTGGCCAATGCAAATAAAAGGTTTTAACTCTGCCCACCACAGAATCCTTCGACTTGAGAGTTTTGAGGTCTGGACGACGACGACAACGACAACGACGACACAATTGTGCAATGATTTATTCATGGGCAATTAAGTTGAGACCTAATTGGCTGTGCCGGATATCGCTGGATATCGATTCGAAAATTATTGTCTAATCCCAGAGCGAGCGGGAGAGTGTGAGTGAGCGAGGAAGGAAAGGGGAGAGAGAGAGAGAGTGAGCCTTGATAAGCCTCATCAAACATGCACATGAAGCCTCGCGAAGGGCGGAAAATACGTGTGGGGGTAAAAGGTAACAAAACTACAAGTTGCTATGGCTCAAGCTCAAGGCGTGGCATTTGGGCATTAAATGTTGTTGTTGTTATTGTTATTGTTGTTATTGTTTTTGTTGCATTTCCTGTGTGTTTGTGGCACACGACAAGCCAACAAAAGGTCAACTCGACAAGTGAGTTAAATGACAAGGACCTTACCTTGGCGGGGTACGTACTGCCTGTGCGTGTTTGCATGTTACGACCCCAAAAAACAAAAAAAAAAACTGAACTAAACTTTGGCTTTGAATGTGGCATGCAATGCCAGGCAAGGCCCTCCGATTCCGTACCCGACACAGGCCAGGCCAGGCCAGGCCAGGACAGGCCATAATGGCCTTTCGCTTTCAAAACAAAACCCCGCAACTCCCCACTAAAATAACAGTAACAACAACAACAACAATGTGGTGTGCGTGTGTGTGTGTGTGTGTGTGTGTACTGGTTGTGTGCCCTTGGCCAATTGCGAGTGAATTTTGATGTTTTGACTGGCCATTCCTAAGGCCATTTGACAACTCTATAAAACCGGTGTCCTTAAAACCTCCAACCTAACTACCTCCACCCCCCTGGCTTTTACTCCCTACCCCTCTCTCACTCTCTCTCACCCTCCCCGCTCTTCCTGTCCGTTGTCTGTCTCTCTCTAATAACAATAATTGCCCGAAGAGTTTCGCGACTTTCAACCTAAGCTAAAAGCGAAACTTCAACGGAAAACGACTTGGCTGGCAACTGGAATACATGGCGATGGTTGTGGGGGCGCAAGCTTTCGGCCAAGGCAAAAGCTCTAGCGCCGCACGGTACACAGGACTCTGGAAAGCTTTCGTCCTGGCGTGCCGAAACCGTAAATGTCAGTCATGGAGTTCCAGTCGTCGGATACATGTGGAACACAACGAACACAACTGGAGAAGATATTCGCGTCTCATCCCCCAAATACAATGCGAAAAAGTTTCTACAAAAAATAGACAAAAAAATTTCAATGCAAAAAAAACACACCCGCAGCACTCACACCCACACACAGAGGATATAAAAAAAAACAAAAACGCAGGAAAATATAAAAAATATATTTAATTGAGTTTGAAGGCGTGCGCGGCATTTGCGGGAATTGAGAGACGTGTGAAATTGTGTGTGTCTCCCTGTAAGTCCAATAAATTAATAATTCAGTTCGGTTCGAAAACGAAAACGAAGGAAAAACGCGTAATAAATTGATAAGAAAAATAATTGGAATACCCGAGAAATATTATAGTGCAAAATAAAGGAGGAATCCAAGGATATATATCGCTGTAATCAGGATTCAAACCAAAAAAGTTGATAATAATTAAGCTTGACAAACAAAAAAAAAAAAAAAAGGAAAAAAGCTCACGCCCCTCCCGAGTGTGTCCCTGTGCTCTTCTTTACCTTTTTTTCTTTTTACTTTTTACATTCTTTTTTTGTTTTTTTTTGTTTTTTTTTTTGCGTATTGTGAAAGTGCAACAACCAGAGATAAGAAGAGACAAACGAGAGTGAGTGAGTGAGTGAGAACAAGGAGGAATACTCATCATTTGGGGATTACGGAATTGGTTTCATTAAAATGGATTTAAGCCAATGCCGATGCGCTGGGCTGCATTTGTGCATGGGATTATCGATTGTAATGCGCAGTCATCAAATTATGTTTGAACAACACAACCGCCAAGCCAGGAGCAACAACAGCAACAGCAACAACAGCAGCAGCAGCAACAACGTGCAACAACTACAACAACAATAGCTTTAATACACACACACACACCCACACACAAATTGAATACACCCATTGCGTCTCCAATCAGAGTAAGAAAGAGAGATTGCGTCTTATGAAACAATTGAGGCACCGGCCCAGGCAGCCAAAGCAGCAGCAGACAAAGACAAGGACAAAAACGAAGAGAAAGACGAAGAAGAAGAAGCTACAGCAACAGCAGCAGCAAACGCAAACAACAAAAGAAGCAACAGCAACAATAGCAAACAACAAAAACAACAACAGAAGCAGCAACCCAAAATCGCATCACATTTTTAAACGGCAATACGCAAAGTAAGTGAAGTGTAAATGAAGAGAAGGAGAAAACGGGATGTGGGAATGCGGCAAGGGGTGAGGGATGAGGTGTGAGTGCGAGTGTGTATGTGTATGTGTAAAACGGAGACAAAGTTTGCCTTACAGGCAAAGTACACCGCAACAAAAAAAAAGCTCAAAATTAGCCAGAAATTCACGATTTTAAAGTTGATTTATGTTTAAAATATTTTATACTATTTTGTGGAAGGTTTTAATAATATTCACACAACATCAATGAGCCAAGAACACGTTTAACAGACAAGTATAATTAATAGGTATTTTTAGCTCCAAGAAATTGTTAAAAAATATATAATTTTATGATTTCTTATAGCTTTGATTTATTTCGAATATGAGGCAACAATTAATGCTGAACATTGGCCAAATTTTGGTATGGATTTAGATATTTTTAGATCCATCAATGTCCATATATCCCTTTTCATATCGATTGAATTTTATAGATTTTTTTGGATTACTTATAAATGTATTACAGCGGCTTTTTATTCAGTTATATTTATTGGATTCATAGCTAGGAAACTTCTGGCAACATTTATCATATGTTTTCTTAGCGAATGGCACTTGAATAAAGAGATTATATATATGGAGAGGGATTAACACATATTCCATAAGAAAAATATGTATTTAAAAATTGTAGAACCTCCAATTTCCATTTACAATTATTCATTGAAATTTTGTAAATCGAACACTCATCTAAAATCAACTAGCAATCTTTTTCTCATCGTGTAAGAAGACAGAAGTAAGTGCGAGTGCAGGAGGGAGAGACAGAGAGAGAGAGAGAGAGAGAGAGAAAGAAAGGGAGCGAGAACAGGGTAGATGCAGGCGAGAGTTTGAGCACAGGTGTGAATGCAGGAAGATGGGGATTACAGAAGAGCAGCAGTCGATGCAGGGAGCGGCAGTGGAGGGGGGAGTTCTCGTACTCGTACGAGTGGAATTGAAAGAGCGAGAGCAGGTGAAGAGCCACTGAAGTGAAGTGGAAAGCATTTGTCGCATTTTCCTTTTTCTTTTTTTTTTGCCAAAGTCTCGGTGTAATTAATACGTACAGATGTGTGTGTGTGTGTGTTTGTGTCACGCGTGTTTTTCAGTGTGTGTGTGTGTGTGTGTGTGTGGATAAACTAGGTCACTAGGAAGTTAGTCCCCCTTGTTAGTCCTCCCCCCGTCATCACCATGGCATCCCTCCTTTTAACTCACCTTCAAAAGGTGTCAACTCGCAAAATCTCCAACCACACCCCAAAAACTCAACCGTAACCACTCCCCCCCACCCCAACCACTCGCCGCATGATTAACGGTTCAGTGCGATTAACTGGCAAACAATTTTCGAGTGTTGGAATGGGGGGATGGGTGGGATGCTTATGCGTGTCTGTTCCTGTCTGCGCCTCTGTGTGTCTGTTCGCCTGTTCGTGCGCGTGTGTGCCTGTTTGTGCGAAATTATGTTGCCTACTTTCGAGGGCATTCATTCAATAACCGCCGCCAATCATATGCAAACGTACCCTTGTGTATATCTGTGTGAATGAGTGCGTGCATGAAAGTATGCGTGTACTCCACCTTTCACACACACACACACATGCACAACGCACATATACAAGTCTTAAGAGGCGATTTCCACCATCAAAAATATAATATCATTTTTTTTATAGGAGGAAAAAAGTAAGTTCGTTTTTTGCGGGAGTTTAGAAATACTGCCAAAGGCAGCAAAAAAAAAAGCCATCAGCCCCAGGGAAGTAGGGATATTGGAAAGGGGCAGAGAAGAGCAATCGGAAGTGGTGGAAGAAGAGAAGGGGAAGCAAACAGTAGTACTGGGGGGATATTCTAAAAACAAAGTAAAACCCATAAAACTCAGGCGCCGAAGCGCAAAATGCCCTTGCCCAGAAAATGCTCGAAACAAAAAGAGAACGAGAACGAACCGAGAAAAGAACAACCAAAAATAAATAGATAGAAACTGCTTATTTATTTATATGTTTCGACAAATGTCAATTGAAACAAAGCTTAAAAGCTTTCAAATCAAAACTCAAATGGAAGCCGCACAAACACACACCAAAAAAGACACAGATACCTACAAATGCACAGAGACAGTGAGAAAGGGACAAATAAAAACCACAGAAATAAAAAAGCAACCTAGGGAAAGATACAAAAAACAAAGAGAAAGATACAACAAGAACAAAAAGACAGAGGGACAATTACTATTAAATCCAAGTTCAATTTGGTCAGCACACAATTGAATTTTACAGATTTGATTTGGCTTCCATTTGCGGATTATCCACCGAATAAACTATTCCACATACATAAGCACAGAGGATTAGCCTTGGGGGATTTTTGGGTGTGGACTCTGCTGCGCTTTGGCAGCAGCCACTTTAATTCCTAATGAGATTTTGCTAATTAAAACTAAACTGAATTTAAATGTGAGAGGATTTCCAAATCCGAATCCGAATCCGGTAGTGGTATTGATAGAAATTGAATTAGTCGCTTTGTTGGATTATTGGATTACGTGCAACATTGGGTAGATTTTGGCATTCGAATTTTTCAATTAAGTTTGACAATAATCAAATACTGACCTAAGATAACAAAACGAAGGCAGAAGCCAAAGTTACCTAAAAAGTGTTCCAAAAGCATTCAAATTTCAATGGATGTTTTTAGTATAGAATTTCCAGAAATTCATTTACATTTTTCCGTAGAAATATTAAGGCAAAGTCCTTAAATACATTTTAAAATAATATATCAAATCCAAAGTTCCAGGAAATTTCCATATCGTCTTCACATCCAAAATCAAAGCTAACAAATTATGTTGAATCGATATATATAAGGAAATCACCATTTTCCCAAGAAATATTTAATAAAAGAATGCTGCAAATGCTTTATCACATTTTCCAAAGAAATATAAAGACTTTTCTCCTCCCCAGTTGCAAGAAGTTGGCAAAAACAAGTTAGAAAACAAAACCTGTAGCTAAAGAAATCCAAGATGCAATCCTTTCACAAGAATTCGAAAGAACAAAGCCATTTCTCTTGCTGGTGATTTCTTAGAAACTCCATTGAAAAGAAAAAAATTTGAAAAGAAAAATGGTGGGGTTTGGTTTCCCTACATCTCAAATGAATGCGAGTGCAACGCACAAATCAAAGATTCTTAGCACTCAAGCTTAATCCAGCTTAAAGCAAAACAACCAAAAACCGTTTCCCCAAAAAGTATGCTTAGAAATAAAATGAAACAAAAAGTAAAACATTCTGATGAAGAAAAAACAATTCACTTAAAAGTGAATTAGAATATGGCAAATGATATTTCATGAAACTATAAGCTGCTTTGATATAAAGCTGCTGAATGAGGCAGGAATTAAGATATGGATGTGCAGGTTGTCTCTCTCCCACAGTGGGAGTCTTTTTTAAAATATATTGCTTTAAATGATAAATGATAATAATATATGATTTAAATAAGTTTAACTCCTATTCCAATTTTCCCATAAATATTTTAGGGCATTTTAATATGGATTTAATAGAAATGTTAGTCTGAAGAATTCCAAATAGATTTTATCGATGATATATGAATACTAAAACTTTTTCGAAATAAATCATCTAAATCAATGTTAAGATGTTGATTGCTCAAAAGAGTAGATTGAAAGGGCTTCCCCATCGTTGAAAGGGTATCAAAGGTTATTTTTAAATTCATTATACATATGTACGTGTATTCCTTACAATAAATACTTGCATATCTATCTATCCACATACTTCAGATTTATACACGGTTTTCTGCAAACTTAAACAAAAGATAAAGCACCAGAAATCCACCACTCCAGTCTAAATCAATTTCTAAAATTAAACAATTTCCCATAAATACATATGATATGTATCTTTGGAGTTCAGTCCGCAAGTCCAGTCCAATCTGTGCGCAAATTAACATATTATCTTGAGCCCACATCTGGCTGTAAATCGTATGCCATCCCATACCGGTTATACCCCAAATATCTGAAGGACACCCAACACAGCAAAGCACAGCACACACCAAAAGTGTATAAATTGCTTACGTTTGCCCATCTAGTCATAAAAATTGCTTTGGCACATAAAACGAAGCTTGACGCTTCGCTTTGGTTTTGTCTTTGGGGTTCTGGTTTTCTGGTTTTCTGTTTCTGGTTTTATTTGGCCTCTCGTTTTGCTTTTCATCGCTTTTTGGGGCTTGGTCCTATCCTCTTAGCCGTGGGCTAGGCTGGGCCGGGCTGGGGTGGGGTGGGGTGTTGTCCTTCTTATATTTCTATTTTTCTATTTGTATTTGTATTGCCCGATTTGTGTTCTCGCTTTGCCAATTCGGTAATCACATTTCAAGCGTTTCTATTTGTTATTCTCATGCTCGGTTTTCGCTCTGTTTCCATTTGCAGGATATGACAAGTGATGGTGCTGTTACGTTTTGGATATTTTTGCTTTGTTTGATCGCCACCTCGCCGCACCTGAAGGGAGGCGAGGCGGGTAGGCCCGATGAGCTGCATATAGGTGGCATATTCCCAATAGAAGGCAAAGGAGGATGGCAGGGCGGACAGGCATGCATGCCGGCCGCAAAAATGGCACTGGAGGATGTCAACAAGCAGCCAAATCTTCTACCCGGCTTCAGGCTCATCCTCCACAGCAATGACAGTGAGGTGAGTACTCAAAATAGACGATAAGCTGTCTAGCTATACATACACACGTACATACTCGCACATCCTACTGCATAGTATATTCTCTTTGGCATATGATATGCCAGACCATTCCCCCCTGGGTGCCACTTATTTTGTTTCTGTTTTTTTGTTTTTTCTGTTTCACTTTTCCACTTGATGACTGAAGTGTGCCGCCCCCCAAATGGTGGAAAGGGGTCGCTGGCATTCATTAGCATATTTCTCTGGAGACTTTGATCCGGGCTGTCCTCCTGCCTCCTTCTAGTTTTATTATGATTTCTGTCATAGTAGTTCCCACCCATTTAAAGGGTATTTATACGCCAGAGTGTTCCAAAAATTGAATTCACCGCAATTTCTGCGCCATCCAGCCATCCTGCAGCAGCAGCAGCAATCTTTTTGCAACAACTCTCCCTTCTTGAGATTAACGACCGTACATAAATTGTAATTGAGTTTTGGTTGAGCGACCGGGCCGGACTCGGACCCGGACCGGTCAGGGCTTTAGAGCTGAGCGTTGACCATTACGCAGGCAATTACATTCATCAGCGCAGAGTTAGGATAAATCGGCGTTTTATGTGTGCGTCATTTATACTCGAAGAAAAGGTATTTAGGCGAGCATATGGCTGGCATTATCGTAATTATGTATAGCTATAACAACTACGGGTTCAATTATTGATTACAATGAACAATTGCAGCTAAAGATACTAAAGAAAATAATTTTGGGCTGTTTCTAACAGTATTTGGGTGGCTTTAAGATTCGTTTTTTAATTGGAAAGCAATTCCGAAAGAGTTTTCTCTGCTTTAAAAAACTTTACTGCTTGGATGCTAGAACTAGGTGATTGGAAACAACGCCTATATATTTAATGATTAAAGCTGACAGTTGGTGTAACTTCTTAGCCTTTTCTTCATAATTTGAAGTTTAAGACTTCAACATCTGATTTAAATATTTATGCAAAGAAATTAATAAACAGGAATAAATATAGCAATAAAATATAGGAACATAAATGGGAATAAATAAGATTAAATTAAGGTACTTACTATAAGTTGCATTATGTATAAAGTTTTCTATCGCTTTTCATATTTATTACAAATTGGTAAATGTCCTTTAGTTGCTTGCCCTTTTTTTTCTATCTGTTGAAGAAGATAATATTAATATTATTAATATATTAATTTTAATTAATTAATTAGTTAGTATTATTAATATTATTAACATATTAATTTTAATTAATTAAATAATATTATTATTATTACTATTTTTTTTTTTTAATTCTAATATTTTCAAAACATTTTGAAAAGAAGTAAGTGAAACCTATTTGCCTAATATCATTTTTTTTTTTATAAATTCATTAAAATTAAAATCTTTTGAGCACATCCAATTAGATGAATTAATTTTCCAGCCAATATTCAATTTCCAAATGCAAAGTAAATCTCTTGCAAAGCCCTCGAAAAGTATTCAATGGCACAAAATGTAAAACCCAAAACTGTAACTAAAGTTTCAATTTTCCGCATTGAAATTCAAAGCGAAATTTGAACAAAGAACACTTTTGGGGCACACAAATGAAACAAAATGCCAGAGTCAGAGCCAGAGTCAGAGCCAGAGCCCAACGTTTACTATCAGACAAATGCCGCCGAAGGCCCACCTCCATCTGCCGACTCGCCATATAATATGTCGTATATCATAATTAATGGCCAGCAGGAGAGTGTCCCAGGGACCCTTTCTCGAATGTAACTTTGGTCCCTGAATAAAGTACCCCTATCAATGTACAGCACCCCACGCCCCACGCCCCATCCCCACATCCACCCACCCACATTCACCCATTTATACAACTATTTTTATTTATTTTAATATTTTCGCTTTTGTTTTTCGCCATTTTAAGGGTCTGCTTGCGGTACAGTTGTTGCGGTTTTGACTACTACTTTGGTTTTGGCCCTGGTCTGGTCTGTTCTGGTCTGGTCTGCTGGTCCTGTGGCATGCGGTATCTTGCATGGAAGTAGTGGGGGGGGTGGGGGGGCATTCGTGAGGCATGGGTGATGTCTATTTATAAGCGCGAACCTCATTAGTTTTAAGTGAGCGAAAAGCTTAACTACTTGTTTTGAGTTTTGAATGAGGTCACTTTGCCGCGCTCGCGAGAGCTCTCACTCGCTCACTCGCTCGCTCGCTCTCTCTTAGCTTTCAGCTCATCATTTGAGTTATTTTTATTCAAGGCTGACAGGAGGGACACAGACAGACGGATAGACGGACAAACAGTCCATATAATACCTCCACACACTCGTGGCTAGTAGTGGTACTGGACTGGATAGCGGCAGTAGATATTGTATGGCTATAGAAATGGGGGAGTAGTGGGAGTAAATTCTGTTCAGTTTCAGGCGGTCTGGTTATCGGTTCGCTGGGTTTGAGCCTGCCTCCTTTGCGTTCCATTGCGTTGCGTTGCGTTATGTTTGTGGCTTTGGCAAACAGCTTCCGTTAAATGCTGCATAATTAGTTGCCATCTCCCTGCCACATCACATGGCACGGCGACAAGCGGCAAAGGTCGCACGCAATGTTTGCCTTTGCCGTTGCCTTTACTGCCTGCCTTCTCCTTCCAATCTCTCAGCCTCAGCCCCAGAGTCAGCTTCAGCTTCAGCTTTTGCCTTTTGCTTGACCTACTTTGATGTGTGAAATGTCCCAAAGAAGCGTGCACAGGGGCATTCAGGGGTAACAACGAAGCTTGGAATACCCTTATAGTTTGCAGGAAAACAACAACGATTCAATTCCTTTTAAAGCTTAACACACCTACGATTCATGGCGGTAATAAAAAATGGTTTATTTTTACTGCTTATTGTGAGTTTTATTTTTTTATTTTCCTCAATTTAAATCGATTTTTCTTACTAAGTATTGGCTGAGAGATGGCTCCCTAAAACTTTATCAATAGATATCCCAACTACAGCTTTTTTATAGACAATTCCCTTTGCATTTTTATGCTTTAAGAAGCGGATCTCAGCGGTTTTTAAATGCAGCATTACTATGGGTCTGTGAAAAAATGTTAGACCGATTTCTCGAGTGGGTTTGGCTATCTAACCAAAATATGCTCCAAAATATGCTTCCCTCTCTGCCTTGCAAGCTTCTCAACAAAGAACTGATAATACCCGCTGTTAGGGTAAGACTATGAGTATTACCCACAGGAGAGAAACTATTAAACAAGAGCGCTCGCCCTCGCCATGGCACTGGCGCTGGCGCTGGCTGGGTCATAATGCGGCATGCCTCGGGACCTGGCACACATATACATAAATATACCCAGGGATCTACAAAGTTGATGGTGGAGGGAGCAGCAGTACGTACCAGTGTGTACAGGATAATGCTTCTGCATAAACAGCGACTGGACACGAAAACGGAGCCAAAGGAGCAAAGCAAAAGAAAAAAAAAAAAAACAATTATAGAGGTTGTTTACACGCAAAGCCCGTAAGAAATATGAAAATTGTCGTCAGCGTAGCGCACAGGAAGAGTGGGTGGGTTGTGGCAACACTGGACGGAGCTGGAACTTGAAGAGGAAACAACAAACTGCAAAAAAAAAAAGAATAAAAAAAAAAGAAACAAAACGAGTTTGCCATGTAAATGAATGAATGGAGAAAATGAATAACTGAATGAATGAATCATTCATATGGTCAGCGTGAATATATCACATTTCCTGCATGCCTTCTTCATATGCGGCGGACAAAAAAAAAAGGAGAGAAAGAGGATGGCAGAGACAGAGACAGAGAGAAACCTTAATGAATTATTTATTGGCCATGAACGAGTTTTGTTTAATTGATAATTTTCATGTCTGGGGAATATATAAAAAAATGTATTTAAAACAAAAATGTACAACAAAAAAGTGATTCCAAATGAAGGCATAAATTAGCATTGAAAGCGCGAATTTAAATCAGAGTCTAGATTGGTTAAATGATATTTCCAGGCATGATTCAATGTATTAGAAACATGCTGAAAGATATTTCGCCAGCTAAAAAGAGTACAGATATGTATCTACACAGTACACTATCTACTTTATAGCAGAAACATGTAGTGATTAGCCTGGCAAGAATCAAACAAAACAAGTTAAGGCCCAGCTGTCGTTTGGCTCTTTGAACACCTGGCTTTTGAACTTTTAGGATGCGTAACGCACATCAATTTATAACTATATATTTCAGTAATATAGAAACTGATTGGTGGTTGTTAAAGTGTCCTAATTCACTAATCATTATGGGCACTTGTGATTTATTATTTTAAATTCAAGAAAATTAAATTAACACTCCACTAAATTGCCAAATCCCAAACATGTATCCATTTACACACCCATTTATGACCTAACAAACCTATATCTAAAATTCGATATTACATAATTCATAGGAATAATTAATTATAAACGCAGAAATAATGTAAATTTAGTAATTTATGGCCAGGAGTCAGGCGATTTTTATTTTAAACGGTGCTAAAACGTTAACATATTAATTTAGCTCTTAGGTGTGGAGTGAAAAAGTAAATCAAAGATTTCAATAAACACATTTTACTAAGCCTATTTAATTTCAGTTATGAAATAAATATAGAAATGAGCTTTGTGAAAAATAAATTGGCAGCATTATAAGTGCTTTTTTTTCACCAGATATTTAATTTATATTTTTAATGTTGAAAAGCTGGTAATTGAAAGCAGTTAAGCATAGTTTTTTGTTAGTTGAGTAAAAAAAATAAATATAATGCTTCACAAAACGAAAAATCAGAGCAACTTTTGTGGGGTCTATGAATATTTAAGTCAATTTAAATTAATTTTGACATTAATTCATATTTTAATGCAAGTTAATTTCATTTAATTCGAATTTAACCATTTCCCGTCATAAATCTTGAATATTAATCGACACGAATTAACGTTTTACTCAATCATCCGAGTACTCGTAAATCTCACAGCAAATTAATCATTTTAATTATTCTGCATTTCCCCTCCAATGACAGACACAAATAAATCACACAAGAGCTGAATTTTCACAGAATAAGAATCGTTTTATGTGGATTTCAATAGCTTCTTAAGAGCCCACTACACTGCAAATAATAATCAATAATACCAGACATATACGAATATACATACTCGTATATATAAGCGAACAATTCAGAAAATATTTATATATTTAACAACAGAATATTTAGCCGCAGAAAATATGTATGTATATGTATATATACAATGTATATATTTGTTCTGTTGGCAAGCCATCGAATGAGGTTAGAAAGCTAATTCACTTTTCGTTGCTATTGCCATTGACAGTGCGAGCCGGGACTGGGCGCCAGTGTGATGTACAATCTGCTGTATAATAAACCGCAAAAACTCATGCTACTGGCGGGATGCAGCACTGTGTGCACCACTGTGGCAGAGGCTGCCAAAATGTGGAATCTCATTGTGGTGAGTGTGTGCTGCCAAATTGCATAATGCAATCTAAAATACAATTCCATAGTCGAAATTCCATAATGATGCCCGTATCACTCTCTCGCTCTCTCTCTTCTCTCTCTCCACAACAGCTATGCTATGGAGCCTCGAGTCCTGCCCTGTCCGATCGTAAGCGTTTCCCAACGCTTTTCCGCACCCATCCATCGGCCACCGTGCACAATCCAACGCGCATCAAATTGATGAAGAAATTCGGTTGGTCTCGCGTCGCCATCCTACAACAGGCCGAAGAAGTATTTATATCGGTATGTCGCTGGGTACAGTCGCAATAAAACATCACATGATATTAATGAGAGGAAAATTTTGTTCGTAATAATTGCAGACCGTCGAAGATCTTGAGAATCGATGCATGGAAGCTGGCGTTGAAATCGTAACTAGACAATCATTTCTATCCGATCCAACAGACGCCGTACGTAATTTACGACGCCAGGATGCACGCATCATTGTGGGACTCTTCTATGTGGTCGCCGCCCGTCGAGTGCTCTGTGAAATGTACAAACAGCAGCTCTATGGGCGGGCACATGTATGGTTCTTCATAGGTAAGTTAGGGAACTCCTAACTCCTCTCCATGGTCTCTGTTCTTGTGACACGTGTCCGTTCACTTATGGGAAATTTATGCAAAAATTTCTTTTTTACTTTTTTTTAGGCTGGTATGAAGATAATTGGTATGAGGTAAATCTAGCATCTGAGGGCATCACCTGTACCGTTGAGCAAATGCGTATAGCTGCCGAAGGACATCTAACGACAGAGGCTCTCATGTGGAATCAGAACAATCAGACAACAATATCCGGTATGACTGCAGAGGAATTTCGGTAAGCTTTCAAAGCTTTACATTAAATAAAATGCAGACAATTTTCAACTAAAATATATGTACATGTGTGTTCGGTCGTTAGACATCGACTGAATCAGGCTTTAATTGAGGATAACTACGACATAAGTCATGGTCGCTATCCGGAGGGCTATCAGGAGGCACCCCTAGCCTATGATGCTGTCTGGAGTGTGGCATTAGCTTTTAATAAAACAATGGAACGTCTAACGATGGGCCACAAATCACTGAAAGATTTCACCTATACGGACAAGGAAATCGCCGATGAGATCTATGCGGCCATGAATTCAACACAATTTCTGGGTGTATCGGTAAATATTCCACAACATTTCATTCATATCCATAAAATGTTCTACAAAGGATTGTCATTGTTTTTTTTTTTTTTGTTTCTTTAGGGCGTTGTGGCATTCAGCTCGCAGGGCGATCGTATTGCCCTCACACAAATTGAACAGATGGTGAAGGGCAAGTACGAGAAGTTGGGATATTACGACACCCAACTGGATAACCTTACCTGGTTGAATACCGAGCAATGGATTGGTGGCAAGGTGAGCATTGAACTATAATTCAAAAGCACAAAAGTTCAGCAAAATCAATAAGCAAAATGTCTGACAAAGATAAGAACGAGGAAAAAAAACCAAATGATGCCTCAAAGGATACCAAAAAAGTTAGTTCTGGCAAAGCGCCAGCCCCTGCAGTTAGTCCAAAACCAGAATCAAAGTCTAAGAAAGGTTCTGGTACAGAAAAACCTTTGGAATTTCAACAAACATCTGCAGTTGATCAAAAGTTGGAATCAAAAACAACTGAGGTTGCAGCAGCTACCGAAAATAAAGAAGGCGAGGCATTGCCAAGGATCTCTGAACCAGAAGATGAGAAAACCCAACCAGAAAGGGCAGTTCCTGAAGAAAGCCAACAAAATGTGAAGATCGAAACTGAAACAAGCTTTCTAAGAGGTCGGGACTCCGTGGATCAAAGACCTACAGAGAGTAGCACAGATGCAGAAACTGCAGAGGAAAAGCGTGAAAATCTTGAGCCAATTGAGACGGATGGAGAGCCGCACAGGGAGGAATATGAAAGTCTGGATGGTGCTCAGATCAACGCCAGTATCCAGACCTCTCAACCAAAGGCAGATTCAGATGATGGTTCACCTCATTCCGCAAGGGACTATCTCCAGTGCGCTGAAACGGTGACGGACCACCAAAGCGAAAGACTAGAAGATATCCGAAGTGTTAGGAGACCATCGTTTGACAGTGGCAGATATGAACCATCTATTGGTGGTGGGTCGCGAAGAGTCAAAGGACGATCGACACCTAGCACGGCGGGCAATCAGTACCTAACATCAGAAGATATACGAAAATTGTATGCCCAGAGAGATCTAGAGGAATCTCAGTTGAGAAATCGGGGCAAAGTCAGAACTTTAGATGAGATACGGGGTCCACAGGCCACCGGCACACGCCAGTTCTTCGAAGAAAATCAAGAAAGTGAAGTTTCTATTGATGCTGATGCTGATGATGATGATGATGATGGTCCTCTGGTAAAACATAAAGCCACAAATACTCGAATCTCTCGAGTGGCTCAAAGATGGGAGCCGGAGAATTTCGATGAAATTATCGTATACGAAGCCGAGGAAGAAACGGCGAAGATTACGGAAATAATAGACGAAAGCATAGGGGATAGTTCAGGGGAAATTAAAAGAGAATCATCCATATCTCAGATGCACTACCACTATTACGGTCTCCTGCGGGACATTGGGATTAACACTGTAAATCCATGCGATCCGATCGATGACGGTACACCCATCGATCCGATAAAACCCTTCAAAATAGATATGAATCGCATTAACGAACTGTTTGCAACGGAACAGGCGGAGTATGGAATATATGAGATAGAAACTGGCAGTCGATCCTACTATAAGGGCTGCGAATATCATTTTCCGGGCACAAATCATTGGAGTAGACTCTTTCGTGATGGCTCCCAGGGCACATACCTGTCGCGGCTGCCAATGCACTGGGTCTACACGGTTCTCTGTGCCGTAGGATATATAGTGTTTGTGTTGCTCTTTAGCATGGCCTGGTTCGATCATGTTACAGAGGGAATTACCGAAAACAGACCCAACACAAAGATGGTGCAGCCCCATTTAAGTCTGGCTACGACTGCAGCGCGTGGTCTAACATATGATCCACGAAACGACACAGAAGTCAATGATATGTACACCAGGAGTTTAGCCTTTTTCCAGAGATATGGCGACGCGGGGGAAAGCGAACGCTTTGGACCCTGCACAGCGGATCAAAAGTTTGGCTATATGAGCAGAGCGCCATGTGTTTTCCTTAAAATTAATCGCCTGATTGGTTTCAAAACTGTGCCTTATACACATCCAGATCAAGTGGACAGGGAACACGACAAGAGACCCGCTGAAATGATATTAAAGAGTCTATTAAGGAACATTACAGACCAAGAGGCACGACAGAATCGCATTTGGTTTACTTGCAGCACCAAACCCAAGAATAAACTGCAAATTGAGTTCTATCCAGAGCCGGCTGTCAGAACGGAGTACACGGATATTGAGGAGAAATTTGCAGGGAACTCCTTGGACCGAGAGGATCTCAATCGTATTGTGGCTCTCAAGCTACGAAATCTGAGGCCAAACGAAAGGGTGGACATCAATTGCAGGATCTGGGCACAAAATATTCATCATAATGGTGAAGATTTTGGTCAGGTTTCGTTTTTTGTGATACTGGGCCATGAGTTGAATCGTCAGAGGGTGCAGAAAGCACTCATATATCATGATTCATTGTGATTCATCGTGAGAAATCCAACTTGTAGATGGAATTTCTTAGACGTAAATCCTATAGATATTTAAGTAATAAATTTTATATAATTTATAATCTGAATTTAGGTTCCTCAAGATCGCACAATTGTTACCCATGTGCTGCGCACAGTTTCCTTGCCACTATTTGTGTGCATGTGCACCATCTCCAGCTGCGGCATCTTTGTTGCATTCGCCTTGATCATCTTTAATATATGGAATAAGCATAGAAGGTAACTCTAACCAACTATAAACGGGAGAGATTTCCACTTGCCACATTTAATTTAATTTTCTATTTAATTTCCAGAGTAATACAATCCTCACATCCTGTTTGCAATACCATCATGTTATTTGGTGTCATCATCTGTCTCACATCAGTCATCTTATTGGGCATGGACGGACGCTTTGTTAGCCCCGAGGAATACCCAAAGGTAGCAGATATCTTTGCTGCAACAATTTGTCCTCCTATAATTCATATTTTTCACCTTACTCTTTGTAGATTTGTCAAGCTCGAGCTTGGTTATTATCCACCGGTTTTACATTAGCATATGGTGCCATGTTCAGCAAAGTCTGGCGTGTGCATCGTTTTACAACAAAAGCGAAAACTGACCCGAAGGTAACAACAACCACAAAATAGAAAAATCATTAAATATCAAATGTCTTGAAATTTATTGAAAATTTTATTGTATATTGTTTTTTGGCAGAAAAAAGTGGAACCTTGGAAGCTATACACCATGGTTTCGGGCCTCTTATCAATAGATTTAGTGATATTACTCTCATGGCAGATCTTTGATCCGCTGCAGCGTTATCTCGAAACATTCCCACTCGAAGATCCAGTATCTACAACTGATGATATTAAAATACGTCCAGAGCTTGAGCATTGTGAAAGTCAACGCAATTCCATGTGGCTAGGTAAGTGCATTCATTTCTAGATTATAATTTGGGGAAACTATAGAAATGTTTGTACTTGCAGGCCTTGTCTATGGCTTCAAGGGCCTCATTCTGGTGTTTGGCCTGTTTTTGGCCTATGAGACGCGTTCCATTAAAGTGAAACAGATCAACGATTCACGGTATGTGGGCATGAGCATCTATAATGTGGTCGTACTATGCCTGATAACAGCGCCGGTGGGCATGGTCATTGCATCGCAACAGGACGCATCCTTTGCCTTTGTTGCACTAGCTGTGATATTCTGTTGTTTCCTAAGCATGCTGCTGATATTTGTGCCAAAGGTATGTCCCTCCCTCCCATCCATCCATAACCAATTCAGAGTAATGCAAATGTTTGGTTGCAGGTCATTGAGGTCATACGACATCCCAAGGATAAAGCCGAATCGAAATACAATCCCGATTCGGCCATATCGAAGGAGGATGAAGAACGCTATCAGAAACTGGTTACCGAAAACGAGGAACTACAACGATTAATCACACAGGTAAGCAAATCAATTATCAATTTTTTGTTTTGTTTTTCTTATTTTGTAATCATTTTGGTTTGGAATGCGCAGAAGGAGGAAAAGATACGGGTCCTACGGCAGCGTCTCGTGGAGCGGGGCGACGCCAAGGGCACAGAACTGAATGGTGCAACGGGCGTCGCCTCTGCAGTAGCAGCAGCAGCGGCAGCAGCCACAACGTCACAGCCCGCTTCTCTCATCAATGCATCCACATCCGCACATCCCACGCCCGCAGCCACACTCGCAATCACACAAGGTACGTGATCCACATACATACATACATATGCATGTATGCAATGGATGCTCCCACTCCCCATAGACATTTGCATGTGGGAACTTAATTGTTGTATTCGCTTGATATACTTAATTGTAATGTTTTCAATCTCAATTAGAAATTTTGGCCCTTTTCGTGGGTATTGACACACTTGATTAGGTGCAACGCCGTAGAAATGGAGTACAAAGGTTATTTGGCTTGTTTATGCTATGCAAAACTCACCTGCCAGCACCTCAAGCACTTTATTTTATACAAATATATTCTTTAAAACACTCAAAACACACACAAAAACACCTTTTTTTCTGCCACAATTTTGCCTCAATTTTCTTCACTTCAATAATACGGTAAATACGATCAACAAGTGATGCATCGATACTTGCAAGTATCGTTATAGCTCTATTCGATGTGTAGCGTGTTTCTATCGATGTTTCGATGTTTTCTATTGATATTTGAATTTGAATTCAAACTAATTTGATTTTGAATTCCCTTTTGCAGATACTCATGAGCATCGTACATGAAAAAACTTGTCAATTTCCTTTGCGTGATAGGTGAATTATACAAGAGACGATATGAAATGCATATAGGAAGGATGAAATACGAAAGAGAAGGACAAATTTAATACAAAAAAATATGTACTTAATAAACTTTGTATCAACTTTAAGCTGAGCTAAATAAGTGAGAATTGGTAGCAGCAATTTTGTAGATTAACTGAAATATGTATTGTACCTTAAACGTGTTTAGCATTAATATGGAAAACGAAATACTTTTAACTTACAAATAACGAAAAACCAAAACAAAAACAAAAACACTCTACACTAGCATCTGAACTAAGCAAATTGTTAGGCTTTAAAGTTGAAAAAAAACAAAAAAAAAAAAAAAACAAAACAAAAACTGTAGCAAGTCAAAAAGCAAACCGAAAACAAATCATGTTAAAGTTAGTAAATTTTTAAATGCAAAATGGTAAAAGACAAAAATTGTTGTGTTTTTTAATACATAATATTGCTATTGTTTTGTCGTTTTTCGTTTTGAAACTATTTTGCTCAGTGCTGTCTCCTAGAGCTCTATTAATGCATAGCCCACACACAAAATATTTCCCCTCCCATGGCGGCCTTCTCCTGAACTTTTGTTATATCTTACAAGTCTTTATATCTGAACCAGGTCGCGGCAATACAAACCAAACTCCTAGACTCCAGGAACCAAACCCAGAAATTGCTCTCTCTCTCTCTATCTCTGGGAGAATGAGGGGGGCGGGGGCTTGGTTCCTTATAGATAAGTTAGCTTTAGACATTTTGTATAGATCCAAATGTGTGTGTAAGTATGTCCGTATGTTGTGTATAGTCGCACTCGAGATCAAGTTTGAATAGTTTAAATTTCAGCGAATCGTAAATAGCACAAATCGAATGGAAGAGTCTAGCAAATCTTAGATAATGAATATATATATATATATATATATATATATATATTATATACACATAGCATAGTCTAGTGTAGCCTCAAAAGTTAATATTATATTATGGGTGGCTCAAGCAACGTTTTAATTTTTATGTACTGTTATACATACGAGTAGAGGGAAGCTAATGGAGCAAACAAAAAATATTAATGAGAAATTTTTGAACATACTGTAAGTTCTAAAATTGCATTTATATAAATTATATATATTATACACAGGAAATGAAGGAATACCAAGGAATACCAAGGAATACCAAGGAATATAAATGAGCGTGTCGTTATATAGGAATTGACTTTATTTAAACTAAAATACAAAAACCAAAACAAAACCAAACCAAACCAAAAAACTGAAACCTACTGAGACAAATGTTGATGAGAACTCACTTCACTCTCACACCACCCCCCACACACTCTCTGTCACTATTTCTCACCTCTCACTATCTCTGATCGAATTGGAACCTTTTTTATAATTCAATTCACACATTCAAACATTCGAAAAACAAAAAAAAAACAAAGAAATGTAATTGAAATATGAAGAAAATCCATCACGAAAATGTGCTATAAGAAAGAAAGAAAAAAAAACATACATACATAGAAAACATCAAATTCCTACGAAATGAAAGACTTTAAAATCTAAGCCGTTAAAATGAAATGGAAAAATCAAGTAAAACAACAAAAACAAAAAACAAAAAACTATACACACGATAAATCAATGATGGTTATATATCATATACATAAAAATATATAAAGATATATATATATGTATGTATGAAATTTACACATGGCAAAGAACATCTCTATAGTACATTGATATTTGTTAAGGATCGTTGGAATTTGTAGTTTAAATTGGATTTAATTGTATTTCGTATACATTTAGGGAACGCTGTTAGGGTAGTCGTTGTCGTGTAACTCGAGATCATGTATATTGTATATAGAACATTTAGCTACGGCTCCTCTCAACACAGAAAAATCCACATAAGCTCCCAGCAAATAAAAATGCAAATTTTTAACCAAATATACTGCATATGATTTTCAATTATTTCGCATTAAGTTTAACAACAATTATTCTCAGATCACAACCGAATGAAGAACTTTTAGTGAAATAAGACACACACACACACACACACACTTTAGCCAAGCTAATTGTTGTATAAAATAAATACGAGTAAATACATAGAATAAACCAAAAGCAAAACAAACAAAAAATAAATCCAGATTTATTTCCAACACAACACAACCCCAAAAGAAAAAAAAAAAAAAACAAAAAAAAACCTACTGTTAGTGACAAAAAAAATTAAAACCAAAAAAAAAATGGTAGCAATCTGAAGAGGAAAACCAAAAAATGAAAAATGAAAAGAACCTGTAAAAGAAGGAAAAACTCGGTATGTTCTTATGAAAGTAACATTAACGAATTAATTTAAAGTTTAATAAAAACTGAATAAAGGAGAATTTTACTGAATAAAAAACCAAAAACACACAAAAACTGAATTTGTAAAAGATTCAAATTATTTTTTGTGGCGTTTCTTGGCGTTGGGCTAAGACGTTGATACCTTCTTTCGAATTATCCAATTTCATATTGTATTTTTTTTATTTTTTTTTTTGCAGGAAATACTTTTATTTTAATTGCACTTTCGTGTTACAGTCCACTCGTGCCGTGCATTTTTAATCAACAGAATCAACAACCTTTCTGCATATCTGAATAAAATATTCATTTGAATTACTAATATATGAAACGTGTTGGTGGGGGAATTAATTTCAATTCGATTAACTACATAAATCATTGAACATATTTACATGCAAAGGCAGAAAGCCCTATAACCTTGATATGAGATCAAATATATTACAGTTTAAATTATATAAATAATGTTATTTGCATACAAAATTTAGCAATATGATAAGGGGAAATATTCTGCAACCCACTTTCAAATTAAAATACAACGATCCATTAGTCTCACATCCTCGATTTGATCGGTTCACTGCACATTTGATTATATTCCAGATGGGCAGCCAGACATCATCCCAAAAGGTATTTTTAAAATATTACCACTTGAGAGACGCATTGGCATTATTTTCCTTCCGCTTATGTTACTAATTTTAAGCATCCACTCAGCAGAGAAAATATCAAAAGACAGACAGACAGACAGACGGATGATCTTCATTAGCAAGCTCCCACAGCTGTGCGACAGTATAACAGTCCGAGATCAGATTATAACACCCACCTAAGCTGAGCTGAGCTTTAAGCTTGGCTGAAAGCACAAACAGAGCATATTACGCTGCTCTTCATGCACAGATCTTGCACTCAGCGCACAAAGCTCGTCTCGAACGGTTACAAAAGCGGCGATTGAAAGTACTTCGAACAAAGTCAAACAAAACAAAACAAAACAAAATATGTATTCGATACGAATGGTGAGCCTGGGGCTATTCTTGTGCCTGTTGAGCTGCTGGAGCTGGAGTGCATTGGCCAAACTGGAAGAGAAATTCTCGTGGAAGCAGCTGGCCTTCGATTGGCCCAGCCCAGAGGCCGAGGCGGAGGCCAAAGCAAATGGACACTACATCGAGGAGAATAACCTGCCGCTGGGCGTGGAGCGTTGGCAAAACAGAATCTTTGTCACTGTGCCAAGGTAAATTACCATTATTACCACATATATATATATTTATTTTAATGGTACTCAACAGACCAAAAACCAATTTGTGATTGCCTCTTCCATTACCTTTTCGGTTTTTTTTTTGTTGTTTTGTTGTTGGTAATTAAATGTCAAGCTAGACTTGCAAAATCACTAACTGGCTCTATAAACCGGTTTGCCCGTTTGGCTAGGCCCGCAACTTTTCTACGTTTATTTTCCATTGTGTAAAACTATTTTGCATTTTAAATAGTAGTTTCTAAATGCAAATGCTCACGTGAAATTGATAATTAATAATTATTAAGAGAAAACATTTAAGCGTTTATCGTTCGAATTTCATTAGAACCTTTTCACAGAAAAGGTCAAAACGATCAGACAGCTGACGTCACAGCCGCTAGTGGCGGGGGGTTTACCCTCAAAAAACCAAAACAACAAAAAATAGCCCAAAAGACAAAACAAATTTTTGGCTGACTAATCAAAACAAGAAACAGGGAGAATTATCAGGGAATTATCAGTTGGATGACACACACACACAAATATAAATGTCTAGACCAATTCGAAATGTCCAAGTTCTGCCATAAATGATCTGTGATCTGTTCCCCAATGATCTTCGATTCAGAGATCTTTTATAATAAATATATACAACCTTCCATAAGAGCCACTTTCCGTTTCAATTGAGTAACTTCTTCTGGTTCTGCATCTACAAAATATTTCCATGCTCGTATCCATTCCCTAATTTCAATTCTCACTTTCTTCCGCTGCCCAGATGGAAGGCCGGTGTTGCTGCCACTCTCAACTACATTGATCTCAATTCAACAGAGAAGTCCCCCAAACTGCATCCCTATCCCAGCTGGGAGGCCAACAAGTTGCCCATCGATGTCAAGCCACAGGAGCAGAAGACGCCCTCAGGCGGACGCTTGGATGCTGAGAAGGCTCAGGATGCTGGCATTCAGTTGAAGGACAATGCCACCATCATTTCCACATTCCGCATTCAGGTCGATGTCTGCGATCGTCTGTGGGTGCTGGACACGGGTCTGGCTGATATTCTGGGCAGCCCCAAGCAGATAACACCGAATTCCATTCTGGTATTTGATCTCAAGACTGACACATTGCTGCGTCGCTTCACCATTCCGGATGATCAGTCCAAGGAGGGTTCCTTCTTTGCCAATATCGTGAGTAAACATGACATACAAATTTATTTACTTACATTTAGGGAGATATTCCATTTCATTCCATCCAAAGGTTGTGGACGCTGATCGTTCAGAGTGTGAGAATGCCTTTGCCTATGTGCCCGATTTGGGTGCCTATGGTGTGATTGTGTACTCGCTGCGCAGCGACAAGTCCTATCGCGTCAAGCACAACTTCTTCCACTTTGATCCGCTGCAGGGCGACTTCAATGTGGGCGGCGTCAACTTCCAGTGGACGGATGGAGTCTTTGGCCTGGCCGTGGGTCCCATGAATCCCGATCACACCAAGGATATCTACTTCCATGCCCTGGCCAGTACCAAGGAGTTCAAGGTGTCCAATCGTGTGCTGCAAAACGAATCGCATGTCACCGGTGGCGATTCCTACTATGACTTTAAATATGTGGGCGATCGCGGCATGAATGGTCAGTCCACCGCTGAGGTCTTCGATCCGGAAACCGGCGTCATCTTCTACACGCAAGTGAACAAGGATGCCATCGCCTGCTGGAACATCAAGCGTCCCTATACGCCCGATACGCAGGGCCTCATTGATTCCGATTCGCATACCTTGGTGTTTCCCAACGACCTGAAGATTGATAGCGAGGGCACCATTTGGGTGCTGTCTGACAGGATGCCAACGTATTTGTACAAGGAACTGGATCCCTCGGCCGTCAACTATCGCATTTTAATGGGCAATAACCGCGATCTCATCAAGGGTACACCGTGCGAAATGTAAGCAGCAGCAGCAGCCGAATGCCGAATGCCAAATGTCGAATGCCCAATGCCGTATTTGTGTGTCGCGGTGCATATTTGTATTTACATATGACATTATTTTTGTTGGTTAGTAAGTCAGCTTAATAAACTATTCTCAATGTGATTGATTGTGCGCTTGGGGGGGGAGGTGCTTAAGTTAAATGTCCGACTTAAGCAGATTATCAGCCAGTTGCACCTTCTCGCCCGGCTTGAAAGCGGGCATGCCCAGGTAGGGGCAGGTGGAACAGCGGAAAGCGTCGCCCAGGTAGCACTGTAAATACACAGGTCATAATTACTTGTAATGCAAAGGTAAATATCCCTGGCTTAACGTACACTTCCGCAGCTGGATTTGGCGTTTTCAGTGGCCGCTGTGGTTTGCTTCTCGCTCTCCAGCTCTTCGGCCAGGCCGCAGGAGCAGTTCTTGCAGGCCTTGCGCTTGCCCGTGGTGCTGCACACTTTCAGACCAGCCGGATCTGGCTTCTGTTTGTCCTCCTCATCCAGCAGTTCTTCCTCATCGATCAGCTCCTCATCGTCGCCGCTGATTTTCCACACATTCAAAGCGCTGGCGTTCTTCTTGACAAACGACAGCCTGGCCGAGGAGCCAGTCTCGTAGCCGGGCTTCTCTGCTGTCAGAGTGTCGGTGCCCTCGCTGCAGTTGATGAAACCGGACAGTTTTATTTCCTGCAGCAAGCTGCCGGCGGGGCCAATGAACGAAAACAGATGTAGTTTGCCGCTGGGCTTCAGCATGTGCAGCAGCTTTACGTAATTGTCAGTGAGCTGGGCGCACTCAATGACAATCAGGTCGAAGCTGGAGTTGGCGTAGGAGGCTGAAATTAAACGCAGGTCGCTAATGAATGTGCTGACTCACAGGGCACGACTCACACGGAGCACCAATTTCACAACCAACTTACAAAACGAGAGGCGATGCACATTCTCCACAGCCACCTCGCCACCGGTGCCTGTTTTCAGCTGCTCCACACGCTTGTCCAGATCGGCGCTATCAGTCCATATGTATAGAGACTTCTGCAGACCCTTAAATTGCTCCATTATCACTGTATTTTTGTTTAGAAAAAAATGTTTTTAAGTGTTTTTTAGCACCGGCTGCAATCAAAATTTAGTGTGACTGACTCTCAGAAATATACCGAAATATACCTTCTACATTTCTAAATATACCGTAAATATACCAAAAAACCAATGACCTTAGTCCATTAAACCCCCCTCTATTTAAACATTTTTTAACACCTTGAGTTAAACGGCAGAATATAATACTGTTTGTAAATTTTCCTTTTAATGTCAAGTTGGGCGCATCCGGCGATGGTTGCAAATTTTAGATGGACAAGTCGATAGGATCGATAGTTACATTAGGGGTAGTATTCTTATAATTTAAAAAAAAATTCCATCAATTATTTAATATAATTAAATGTTTATTAAATTGTAAGCGGTGGATGTGCCAAAATATGATGATCGTATCGAGCTACATCGACGGAGTCTGAGAGAATGTTTCAAAGGCCGGGCAAATTATTTTGGTGCTCTGAAGCAAAAAAATGTTGACCAACTTTTGTTTATTAACGAAAACTGCCGGCTTACCATTACCATTACTAACTACAATTCAATGCAAGATTTGAACAATCTTTATACCATTTCGCTTGAAATATGTATCGCGTTAAAAGTTTATTTTAGTAATAATAATTTGAGCCCGATTCTTTTACGATAGTATCGATTTTTATTTTCGAAAACATTCAAGACTATCGACTTCGCAACCATCAATAGTTTGAGTAGATAGATATCGCCGGTAAGTGTCAACTATCGTAAATAAAAAACAATCGATACAATCGTCCCTTTTTTTTAGTTGTAGCTATTATAAATATAACGCAAGCTCTAGTTGTAGCGTTAAACAGAAGCCAGCCGCTACAACCGCTAGTCGCTAGTCAAGTGCTTTTCAAAATACAAATATGTGATTACGGCGTCCAGTACAAAAGTTAAGTCTCCATCATCGAATCCGAGCCCCGAGTCCGCGACCAAGAGGAAGAGAGAGAGAGAGTGTGCGTGAGAGAAACGACAGCTGCTGGCCGTGTGTGTTGGTGCAGGATAACAAATACAAAACATACAACAACAACAAATAGTACACAAAAAGTGCCAAAGTTTTAAACAAATTTGCCAAAAAATCGAAAGAAAGAACCAACCAAAAGCCAGCAAACCATTCAATTTCATAGAATTCAATCCAGAAGACATGTGCATAAATGAAGAGCTACAACCAATTTAATTTGAACACCGCTGCCCCGCCCGCCATTGCCTACGAGAACGCAGCCGCAGCCGCAGCAGCAGCAGCAGCCCTCAATTCAAGCAGTTCGCCCCTCGATCACAATCAGCAGCAACGTCAGGATATGCCGCACTTTGGACTGGGCAGCGGTCCTCAGCCGCCGCCGTCGCAGCAGCAGCAGCAGCAAGTGCACCATCAGCAACAGCAACAGCAACAACAACAGCAGCAGCAACAACAACAACAAATGCAATTGTCCATGTTGCCGGGTCCGTACCGGCCGCACATCGAGGAAAAGAAGCTAACGCGCGATGCCATGGAGAAGTATATGAGGGAACGCAACGATATGGTCATCGTGATACTGCATGCCAAGGTGCGATATGGGGTTTTTTGGGGGTGACCTTAAGGAGTAGAAATTGGGGCAGTTTTGGTAGAATCAGGTTGGTCAGGTGTCCGATAGTGCTTCAAGAATATTAAAGGAATCTAAAGAGCAATAAGGATCGTACAGGATCTATAAATAATGTATAGAAAATGCTGTCGTAATTTAAATGGCGGTTTATCCTGATGAATTAATTTAATGAATTTTAAATGAAGAGATTTGGATGCTCTAAATTTAATGTCTGTGATTCCCACAAAGAATATTCTTGGACATTACTCAACTATCCAACAGATCCCAAATGGTCCTGGTCACAGCACGCGAAAACCTTGTGTTCGCTGAATAATGTTCTTTCACCTGTTCAAAATATTCCCATTTAATTCTCAGACATCTCTCAGCTAAACATTAAACCACTAGATCCCCTTTTAGATAATTCCTTTAAATACCAAAATTTTCCTCAAGTAATTTCAATATTATATTCCCACTCTAATGGGTCAATCAGAGCTACTACCTCCTCCTCCTCCACGAGCACACCCGCCCCAAAGTGTCCGATTCGTTTGTCCAGTTTAAAGTGTTACATTTTTGCGGTTTTAGCGAAAAGCAGCGACAACAGACAACAGAAAACAGAAAAAAAAATGAGAATAAAATTGTCGCGGTTGGTTATTAGTGGTGGCGATCTTCAAGCGGCGACGGCGGCTGCCGCCAAATGGGAATCCTTCACACTCCAGTGCATCCAAATTGAGCAACGCGCTCGCGGTTGCCCGGTCTGGTCTGGTCTGGTCCGGTGCAGTCCGAGCCGCCGCAATGAAAAATAATTGAAATTAATTACAGAAAATTAACAAAGCTGCATAGCTTGCGGTTCTGATACGATTTGCCGATAATCCGAGTACCAATTTGTGCTAATTGAATTTTTGCACTCTTTTCGCGTGTGTTTCCAGGTGGCCCAGAAGTCCTACGGCAATGAGAAGCGCTTCTTCTGCCCGCCGCCCTGCATCTATCTGTTTGGCAGCGGCTGGCGGCGACGCTACGAGGAGATGCTGCAGCAGGGCGAGGGCGAGCAGGGCGCCCAGCTGTGCGCCTTCATTGGCATTGGCAGCAGTGACCAGGACATGCAGCAGCTGGATCTCAATGGCAAGCAGTACTGTGCGGCCAAGACCCTGTTCATTTCGGATTCGGACAAGCGCAAACACTTTATGCTGTCGGTGAAGATGTTCTATGGCAATGGCCACGACATCGGTGTGTTCAACTCCAAACGAATCAAGGTGATATCGAAGCCGTCCAAGAAGAAGCAGTCACTGAAGAACGCCGACCTGTGCATAGCCAGCGGCACCAATGTGGCCCTCTTCAATCGCCTGCGCTCACAGACCGTCTCCACGCGGTATCTGCATGTGGAGAATGGACACTTTCATGCCTCGTCCACCCAGTGGGGGGCATTCACGATACATCTGCTCGATGACAACGAGTCCGAGTCGGAGGAGTTTCAGGTGCGCGATGGCTACATCCATTACGGTGCCACAGTCAAGTTGGTTTGCTCAGTGACGGGCATGGCCCTGCCGCGCCTCATCATACGTAAGGTGGACAAGCAGATGGCTCTGCTGGAGGCCGACGATCCTGTCTCGCAGCTGCACAAATGTGCCTTCTACATGAAGGACACCGATCGCATGTATTTGTGTTTATCGCAGGAGAAGATTATCCAATTCCAGGCCACGCCGTGTCCCAAGGAACCCAACAAGGAGATGATCAATGATGGTGCCTGCTGGACAATCATTTCCACGGACAAAGCGGAGTATCAGTTCTACGAGGGCATGGGTCCTGTGGCGTAAGTTGAAGCTTAACTTCTGCTTTATGCTTCGATTTTTATTGCTTTATTTTTGTTGTCTTCCTAAAGTTCTCCTGTGACACCTGTGCCCATTGTCAACTCTCTGAATCTGAATGGTGGCGGCGATGTGGCCATGCTGGAGCTGAGCGGTGACAATTTTACGCCCCATCTGCAGGTGTGGTTCGGTGATGTGGAGGCCGAGACCATGTATCGCTGTACGGAGACGCTGCTCTGTGTGGTGCCAGAAATTTCCCAGTTTCGCGGCGAATGGCTTTGGGTGAGTGTTCGCCTGGAAGAAACCCCACCATTTGCATCCTCTATCTATGTGTCTGCTTTTGATAGGTACGCCAGCCCACACAGGTGCCCATTTCGCTGGTGCGCAACGATGGCATTATCTATGCCACGGGCCTGACATTCACCTATACCCCAGAGCCGGGACCACGGCCGCATTGCAATACCCAGGCTGAGGATGTGATGCGGACACAACGGCACAACAACAATAACAACAACATCACGAGCATCAGCAACAACAACAATAATAATAATGCGGTCTCACCGTCGGTTGGCGGCAGCTTGCAACAGCCACAGCAGCAACAGCAGCAGCATCAGGCGCTGCCCTCCATCTCAGAAGTGCAATGGAATAGTCATGGTAGCGGCTTGTCCTGAGTGCAG